CCCACTTTCCCACACTGTGTAAACTGAGTACATTTCTTCTGTATTTCCGTCTTTTTGAAAGGCAGGATGGGAGCAGCCGTTGCCCAGTTCTGAGCCATGAATGTCACACAACCTGCTAGGTTGATGTTGAAGAAAAAAACAAAAGGCCACCCACCTAAATTAGTGCTGCTTCCCAAAACTTGGCGTCTAATCTTTACTGGTTTGTTTTGTTGCGTCAAGGACATTTCGAGATGGAAGTTGAAAAAAAACAAAGAATGACTTCCTTTTCCAGATTCTAGTGGCTGATAGAGTACGACAAAGTCACGGTTGGGTTTTGTGTACCATGCATACCAGGAACCTAGAGGATTTTTTTTAAGGCCACATCCTTTCCAGTTGCTTCAGTGAAATCACGTCCATCGAATTGTTGTTTTTCTAAAATACAGGATGTTTGTATTCATTTGAAGCCATTTTAAATTTAATTGTAGCAGTAATGACGTGTGCATTGATGAAGTAATTAAAACGTCAACACAGTATGTTTTTTTTTTCCAAAGTTAGAGGTGGGCAGATGGAGCAGTGCCAGTTTGAGTTGATCAGATTTTGGTTTGTTTGCAGTCTTGTCCTAAGGAAAACAAAGTGCACTGATTGATTGATTGATGATATTTTTTATTATTTTTATGTGGACATGAGGAATGTAGTCCAGGCAGATGGGCCTAGCTACTAAAGTCCACTGGACTAAAAAAGTTATTTGTGTGTCAACAAATGCAAATGAAAGCGTTTTATTGTACACAACCATCTACTGTAGTTGGTCTGCATACTAAAGTGTTCAAAGATTTTTACTAACAATGTCTTTTCATTAAAGACCATTAAAGTCTCCAGGTCTTTTGTGAAGGGCCATTATGAAGCATATTCCTGTTTTATAATAGTCTCAGCATGACAAAGCACAGTCCAAGGCTTTTATGCAGCCTATTGTACTCACATGATGTAATATACTTATCAGTCTATTGTTGAACCTGAAGGGAGTGCAAATCACCGAGGAACCAGACAATAGCCTCTCGTCTTATTGGTGATTTTTAGGGTTAGGGTTACAGCTCTTTATTGTTTTTTTTTTCTTCTTAAAACTAGGATTTTTCTTAAGTTTCTAAAGTTTCTTCATTGGTTATTTTTTAATAAGGTTAGGCTTTTGTTTAGAACTGTGAAACATGATTGTATGAAAGAAAAATAATATAGGGTATCTGGTTGAATAAAATGTTCAGGTCTTATTGTACATTATAGTCTAAAACAAATAACTGCTGGTTTTCTTTGTCT